CTATTCATAGTTGCTAAACATGCCTGCACTTTACTTCCTCCGTGTTTTGGTTTACAGGTTCCCCTCGGCCTTAAACGCCCTCTCAAAAGTCCTGCCCAACTTGTGAGACCCAGCTCACCCACTTCCTGTTAAGCTTCGCTTTGTCCTCCCAACTAGAACTCGGTTTTTAATGTGTATCTTTGTTGTAGAAGTTACTACATAAAGCCATATATTATGGTTATAACTTACTGTATAAGCCTCTCCATCAGATTATGAGAGCTTAAGATCGTAATTTATCTTGGTACCTTGCACATAATTAGAACTCAGAAAAAACATTAAGGCCTTAAAATGTTTAAAAAAAAAAATCAAGAAACTTTTTACATTTGTTTTAAGCTGGCTACAAAAGTCTATTTTTAATTATGTATTCTTACAATAAAGTTTTTTTCTATCTTATTATTATTACTTTGTAATAGAGATGGGGTCTTGCTGTGTGTTGCCCAGGCTAGTCTCCAGCAATCCACCCGCCTTGGCTTCCCAAAGTGCTGGTATTACTGACATAAACCACTGCCCCTACCCTGCAATGAAGTGGGTTTTTTTTGTTTTGTTTTTACCACTGACTACTACTATTTCTTTATTTTTTTTTTTCGAGACAGAGTCCACTCAGCCCAGGCTGGAGTGCAGTGGTGCCTTCTTAGCTTACTGCAACCCCTGCCTCCCAGGTTCAAAGGATTCTCGTGCCTCAGCCTCCTGAGAAGCTGAAACTCCAGGAGTATGCCACCATGCCCAGCTCATTTTTGTATTTTTAATAAAGACAAGGTTTCATCATGTTGGCCAGGCTGGTCTCGAACTTTTGTCTTGAAGTGATCCACCTGCCTTGGCCTCCCAAAGTGCTGAGATTACAGGTGTGAGCCACCACACCCGACTAATTTTTTTCTTTTGTAAAAATTAACAACAGAAATTTATTTCTTACAGTTCTGGAGTCTAGGAAGTTGAAGATAAGGGCGTCTTGTGGTCAGGTTCTGGTGAGGGCCCTCTTCTGAGTGCATACTGCCTTCTCACTCTGTTCTCACATGGAGGAATGTGGAATTACTTTCCTTAATAGCATTTCATTGTTGTCTGTCAGATTTTGGTGGTTTGAACAGATCTTTGTTCTTTAATTTCCTCCAAATACTATTTTAATTTCTAGTTTTAGATTCAATGTAGAAATAGATCTATGATTGTTGTTACTGTTGAGTATCCATAGTGTACTAGGTGTTTGGAATAGCAAGTTAGATTTCAGTATTGTTTTAGTCTCTTGAGATTTCTTTAAGATTTCTAGACTTTAGTATCATGAGTGAACGTAATTATTAGGCAAAAAACTGACTTTTAGGCAATGAGACTTCATCCCACTAATGAAGTTTTGAAAATAATTTCCTGGATGAAAGATGGGATTCAACAGAGATTTTTTGTGTGGGGAGGAGTTATAGTCTCACTGTCTCCCAGGCTGGAGTACAGAGGCGTGATCTTGGCTTACTGCAGCGTTGACCTCCTGGGCTCAAGTGATCCTCCTGCCTCTAGCCTCTCAAAGTGCTGGGATTATAGGCGTGAGCCATTGTGCCTGGCCTTGGCAGAGATGTTGTTGGGGAAATAAAATCAACTTTGAAGATAGGAATTTGACTGTTTGGTTATGAATAGAGGTGTAGGGTCTGGAGTAGCACCTATACTAGGAAAGCGGTTGGGGATTGAATGATTAAGTAAACAATGTGGAATATAAGCAGTGTGGAATGCTATGCAGCAGTTAAGAAGAATAAAGTGAAGTGATAAGCACTGACTTTTTTGGAAAGATCTTATTAAATGGAAAAAAGGCTATAGAACAATGTATGTAGTATGATCTCATTTATACATATATTTTAAGTTACATTTTTCTGTGTACATTTACATACAAAAGCATAGTGTCTCAGAAGAAAAAGTGTGTAAACATAATACATCAACTTTATAACCGTTGTTACCTCTGGAAATCAATGCGGGAATGTGGAGATTGAGGAACCATGAAGGTAGACTTTTGGTTTATATTCTCTGCTTCTGGAGTTTAAATTTTTAGCAGAAGAATATATTTATGTGTTGGTTGTACAACTAAAAAATAAATTTTATTACTGGAAAGGGATTGGGTACTGCTTGCAGGGGGCTGTAATCTACAAAAGCCATCTTCAGTACCAAGTTTAATTCCATCATTGTTTTTTGGGCTTTAAGCCTCTGGACTATTGTCCTTTAACCAAAAAAAGGGAGGTGGGGGGCAGGAAAGGGGGATTAAGTAGGCTTTAAAGTAATTTTTAAAAATATTATTTTCAGCTGGCAGAGACACAGCCATAGTTTCACTTCCAGTTTCTTTTGCAAATTTCTATTTAGGGAACTTTAAATAATTTATCTCTAAGAAGTATCATGCCATTTCTTTTATACTGTCTCATTCGGGAAGCTCTGGGGTGGGGAGGGAAGTATAGAGCAGGAGGAAAGATGTTAGACCAAGGCTCAGCTTGTATAGCTCCTGTATTTTTCTTGGGGAATGTTTTTGTTCTGCAGCTCTGTATGAGATCAATGAACAGATATATATTCTGGGTTAATGACAAAACCTGGCATTTGGCCATACAACTAGGAAAGTTAGCTCTGCGCATTAACCATTGGTTAAATCTTACACCCAGAAGCTGTTCTGCAGTTACCAGTCACACTGTTAACTGTAGCCAACATTTTACAAATGCAAGAAAATGTGCATCTGGTGAGAGAAAACGTAGGTGTATCATCACAAGTCTATCACCATATTTTTATGGACCTTAAATATAAACTCAGTTTTTATATCCCAATCTTAACAGCAGTTTGTTTTATTTTAAATAACTTTTGTTCACGCATTTAGTGAAGAATATAATAAGAAAACATAAAATAAATGCCTCCTGTTCATCCCTTGTTGACTGCTGTTAACACTTCATAGAGAGAAAGGACAAGGACAATGAATTGAACAAAAGAGAGGGAAAAAGTGGGCCATAGGGAATGTACAGTAAATAGGGAATGAAGAGGCAGATATAGAAACAGAATTATTAAGGCCAGGTGAGGTGGCTTATGCCTGTAATCCCAGCACTTTGGGAGGTCAAGGCGGGCAGATCACCTGAGGTTAGGCGTTCGAGACCAGCCTGGCTAACGTGGTAAAGTCTCATCTCTACTGAATATATAAAAATTAGCCTGGTATGGTGGTGCACACCTGTAATCCCAGATACTCGGGAGGCTGAGGTGGGAGGATTTAAGATCTGGAAAGCTGGCCAGGAGTGATGGTGTACACCTGTAATCCCAGCACTTTGGGAGGCCGAGGTGGGCAGATCACAAGGCCAAGAGATCCTGGCCAACATGATGAACCCTGTCTCTACTAAAAGTTCAAAAAATTAGCTGGGCATGGTGGCGCATGCCTGTAGTCCAGCAACTCAAGAGGCTGAGGCAGGAGAATCACTTGAACCCTGTAGGCGGAGGTTGCAGTGAGCCAAGATTGTGCCACTATGCTCCAGCCTGGTTTCAGAGTGATACTCCATCTAAAAAAAAAAAAAAAAGAAAAAAAAAGAAAAAAGCTCTGGAAAGCTCTGGTGGTTTATCCCATTTTAAAGACAAGTATAATCTAAGATTGCTAAGAAAAAAACATAGAATAATGAAATCTTTGCTGGTGTGATACATGCCTCTAGTTACTAGATACTCTTAGAGTTTTCTTAGGGGTCTAAGTTGAGAACAGGAGACAGTTAATTTCTTTCTCATATCCTTCATTCCTCAGTATACAGGGAATTCCCTTCGAGATTTCTTTTGATAATTGGCTGTGTTATTTCTAAAAGAAAAATCAGTGCAGTTTTCTAACATCTGTGCTCTGATATTAAACCTTAAAGTTATTGTAGGATTTATCGGAACAAACCAGAATTCTCTACTTGTGTATTTTGAATTATTACCTTAATGCTATAATAACACATGTTTAATAACATGCTGTCAGTCCTATGTACTGTCCAAGGTTTAATGAATTTAGTGGTTTTTCTTCTGAAATCAGGTTTGACCTAATATGACTCTCAAATTTATTATATTAATAATATTGTTTACTTCTTACACATGAGTGGAAGGGCAAAGTAAAGTGCTTTACTAAAGTCCAAAATCAGCTGGGCCTGGTGGCTCACACCTGTAGTCCCAACACTTTGGGAGGCTCAGGTGGGCAGATTGCTTCAGCTTAGGAGTCTGAGACCAGCCTGGCCAATATGGTAAAACCCCATCTCTACAAAAAAGTACAAAAATTAGCTGGCAGTGCGTGACTGTGGTCCCAGCTACTGGGGAAGCTGAGGCGGCAGGATGATTGCTTGAGCCCAGGAGGTTGAGCCTGCAATCAGCCGATAACATGCCACTGCACTCCAGCCTGGGCAACAAAGTGAGTGAGACCCTGTCTCAAAACAAAAAATTTTGAGACAATAGTATATCTTACTTAATAGCCTACTGTTGTTATATTACTTCTAAAGAGATTTTAGTCAAAATTAAAGTATCAAAAAAGGTCTGAAATGGAAAGATATAGTCTATAGGGAAAGAAAGAAGCCCAAATTTAAAAATGTTAGGATGATTGATAGGGAAGAATTTAAATCTGGTGAAACTTTTAAAATAAGACTCCTAAGACTGGCACAGTAGCTCACGCCTTTAATCCCAGCACTTTGGGAGTCTGAGGCGGGCGGATCACAAGGTCAGGAGATTGAGACCATCCTAGCCAACATGGTGAAACCCCATCTCTACTAAAAATACAAAAATTAGCTGGGCATGGTGGTGTGTGCCTTTAATCTCAGCTACATGGGAGGCTGAGGCAGGAGAATGGCTTGAGCTGGAGAGTTGGACGGAGGTTACAGTGAGCCAAGATCACACCACGGCACTCCAGCCTGGCGACAGAGTGAGACTCCATCTCAAAAAAAAAAAGACTCCTCCGTTGCCTTCCTTATGTTCTTGACTGAAGCAATGTTTTCAGGGAGCTGAAAATATTCATTCTTTTCCAGATTGCAAAAGTTGAGAAGCTCAAACCATTAGAGGTGGAGCTGCGACGCCTAGAAGACCTTTCAGAATCTATTGTTAATGATTTTGCCTACATGAAGAAGAGAGAAGAGGAGATGCGTGATACCAATGGTGAGGGGGAAGGCGACTCTTCTTAAGTGATCCATAAATGAGACCATCCCCAAACTTTGAATTCTGGTGTACCCTTTTCTCAGTTTTGCCAAGACGGGTAAATGGAAGGGAAGTTGCTTGCTTCACTGTTGCTGCTTCTAACGGTAAATGAGCCTTGTTAGATTTTCAAGAAAGTAGAAATTTCTACTGTGATAAATGCAGTTGACAACATCCTGTTAACCTATACCCATATCAAATAGCACCAATCTTTGTAATTTTCAACATTTATATATAGGATAATGAACTTAAAAAAAATTAGCTGAAATCCTACTATTAGACCTAGGAACAGAGTGAAGTTAATTGCCTTTACCCACCTCCCCTGCCATTGTTTAGCCAGCTGAGGAGGCTCACTTCATTATGTTTATAATGCTTTTTTTTTTTTAGAGTCAACAAACACTCGGGTCCTATACTTCAGCATCTTTTCAATGTTCTGCCTCATTGGACTAGCCACCTGGCAGGTCTTCTACCTGCGACGCTTCTTCAAGGCCAAGAAGTTGATTGAGTAATGAATGACTGAGGCACATCTTCTCCCACCTTGTACCTCAGCCAGCAGAACATCGCTGGGACGTATCTGGCCTAAGGCATCCTACCAATAGCACCATCAAGGCACGTTGGAGCTTTCTTGCCAGAACTGATCTCTTTTGGTGTGGGAGGACACGGGGTACCACCTACACCCAAAAAGTCAATGAGGGACTTCTTTTTAATTTGGTAGGATTTGGACTGGTTTTGCAACAATAGGTCTATTATTAGAGTCACCTATGACAAAAAAACAGGGGTTACCTTGATAATGCCAAAGTCAGCATTTGTCCTGGGTTCCCTTGTGTGATCTGTTTGAACCATGTTTTCTTTTCTTCTCCCACTTGCTCAGCAGCTTGGGCTTCCATTGTACTTCTTTTACCAAGATTTTATGTGACCATGTTGACTTCATTCGGATTGCCCTCTTTCAGTTTTCTTGTGAAAACACCCTTAACTTTCCCTTTACCCTTAGCTGAAATGTTTACATAGCTTCTGGTGATACGTTTTCATGACTTTATGTCTCTGAAAATGGTGATGGATGTGACACTTCATAAAAGTGAGCTTTGAACTGTAGATAACTCTTAAAGAAAATGTCATTTCAGGCAATTAAAATATTTGTGCTCAACTGCTTGAACTTTATTCGTGTATGTTTATTTAGTTCTGTGCAATTTTATCACATGTGGATTCATGTGACTACCATCACAAGAGACAGAACAGTTCTATCACACAGATCCCTTTTGCTGCCCTTTTACAGCCACAGCCACGTCCCTTATCCCCTCACCCCAACCTGTGGCTACCGCTGTTCTGTCCACCATCTCTGTAATTTTGTCATTTCAAGAATGTTCTATGAATGGAATCATATACAATGTAATCTTAACGAGGTTGATTTTTCTTCATTCAGTTAATTCTCTTGAAACCAAGTTGCATGTATCAATAGTTTGTTCCTTTTTTTCTTTTAAAAAATGTTTTATATATTTAGGGGGTATAAGTGCAGATTTCTTATGTGCATATATTGGATTGTGGTAAAGTCTGGGCAGTTCTTTTTGATTGCTGAGTAGTATTCCATGGTATGGATGTACCACAGTTTGCTTAACCATTCACCCACTAAAGGACAGAAGAGTTGTTTTCAGTTTTTTGCCCTTACTAATAAAGCTGCTGTGAACATTCATGTACAGGTTTTTATGTGAACATTTTCATTTCTGGGATAAATGCTCAAAAGGGCAATTGTTGGGTTGTGTGGTAAACATTTATTTTTGTAAGAAACTACCCTACTCTTTTTCCAGACTGGTTGTATCTTTCACATATAGCCACTCATACAATTCATACAGCAATGTATGATTGATTGTTTCTTCACATCCACACCAGCATTTGGTATTATTATCTTAACCATTCACATAGATGTGTATAATGATGCCACATATGGTTTTAATTTACATGTTCCAATGGCCAATGATGTCGAATATCTTTTCATGTGCTCATATGCCATCTATATATCCCCTTCAGTGAAATATATGTTCATGTCTTTTGTTTATTTTCTATTTAGATCATTTGTTCTTTTTACTATTGAGTTTTGAGTTTTTTATATATCCTAGCTAAAACTCCTCTGTTAGATATGTAGTTGCTTGAATTTTTAACATAACTTCTACCAAGGAAAAATAAGTAAAATTTCCAACTCTTTTTGCATGGCCACTTACTTAATTCTGTGTTCCACCTAGAGAATTAAGAGATATGATGTATAAAATAGACATCTAGGAGGGCCATTAAGAGAATAAATACTTACAAATACATGTTATGAAAGCAAAGCCAATAATCACTGTAGGAGTGAGTATGAGGTACCTAAAGGGCCAAAACTCATGTAAATAAGAGAAAATGCAGATATAAATATTTATAAAGTTATGAAAAATGCTATCACTTGAAATCTTTCCCACATCTCCCAGCGAAGTAGGTTGGAGTTTATCCTTTCTATAATCTCTTTTTAACCCTGCTATTACAGGGCTTATTTAATCACAGTGGCAAGAATTTTATGTATCTTGCAGTAAAGAAGCAGAATATTGGAATTGAACCCTGATGTATTGGCCTGGATAAAGTACAAAGGTGGAAGAGGGAGTGAGTTATGTTGTTAAAATCTCAGGATATTCTGTTAATGTTCCAGCCACTATGAACCCAAAGCTTTTTTTTTCCACTTTTGACTCCTTGTACTTTATGTGGTATTAAAGTAGTTCTGTCATTAACTTGTACAACATTGCCATCTGCTGTTGAGAATTGGTAGGTACTGCTTCTGAGAACCTGGATGCAGTTCCTCACCACAGGGGCAGCAGATGTTAAAAAAAGTCTGTTTGTACTATTACATATACTAAGTTACAGAGGATGCATCCAAATAGAGAATAATAAGTGGGCTAAGATCCATTCTCAAACTTTTTTCTTGAGACAGAGTCTTGCTGCAACGCCCAGGCTGGAGTGCAATAGAATGATCTCGGTCCACTGCAACCTCCACCACCTGCGTTTAAGCGATTCTCCTGCCTCAGCTTCCCAAGTAGCTGGGACTATAGGCGCATGCCACCACACCTGGCTAATTTTTGTATTTTTAGTAGAGACAGGGTTTCACCTCAAGTGATCCGCCCGCCTCTGGCTCCCAAAGTGCTGGGATTACAGGCGCAAGCTACCACGCCCAGCCGCCATCCTTAAACTTTTAAATGTGAAATTCTATCATGTACCATTAGCCTAACAAGATTTTCTTTCATATTTCTGACTGGTACCTTTCCCCTTTTTAGGAGCAATGAAAGCTACTGTTAGTTATGTTCTTCAGATGTGACAAAATGTCAAAGAAAAAGATAGGAAAAGAGAATATTTTATTTTGTTGATGCTTTTGTTCCCAAGTGTGACCCTAAACTTAACCTTTGTAGGAACTAACATTCTTTCATGTCCCCTCCCTTTACTCATGCCAAAACTATCAACTGGGACATTTTGTGCTTTTGTTTTAAAAGTTAATTGATATTATACTTTGGTTTTATCCAAAAAGGAAAAGTATTGCCTTTGACAAAAAACTGATATAAGAGCAAATAAGCTTTAAAAACGGGTGTTATCTGCTTTCCTCCGTTTTTGAGCATATTAACCAAAATGGTCTGTATAATATAAATGAGGACACAGTTTAAGTGAGCTTTGTTATACCATTGTCATGGACCCCTGTCATAAAGCCATTTTTTTGATTTGTTTGGGAAAGAGTCATGTGGGATTTATACAGATTCACTTGTAAATGTTGGATTGGGGGGTTTTGTGTAAATTTTCACAAATAAAGGCTAGCAGAAACCATTTTAGGTGTATATTCTGTTACTCTTGAGTATTTCTATGTCTGGATTGGTGATAATTCTTCCATATTTCTCCACTTTTAAATTATGGCAAATGATACCTGATGAATTAGAGAAAAAATATTGTTATTCTTCAGTTACTGCAGTTCTATAGTTGATATGAGCTAGTAAAAGATTATCATATTTTTATGTATGTAATATATGTATATTTTTATACATAATTAAGAATCCTTCATTATGCATCTTCAGACCAAATACAGTTCTGTAAGCTAGGCATTTTATTCCCTTTATCTTCTCTCTTTTGGAAACTGCTACTATTAGGTTGGTGCAAAAGTAATTGCGGTTTTGCAATTAAAATTGCTACTACATAGACTCATTCCTACAGAGAGCCATCTCCCTTGCCTTCCATTCCTAAAAGACCCCTCCTAATATATGACCCCTCAGCTCACTTTAGGCCTATCATATCCAATGCAAAGCCCCACTCCAGGAGGTAAACGCCATTTTCTCCTCTCCTTTCACTTACATTTGAACATTTTTCAAAGCTTTCCAAGAGCCAATATGAAGTGCTTTGCACACTCACTGACTGGCCTCTTATTTATCCTATCTGCATTCTCCCTCAAACTTTATTATGAATCCATAGTCTGTAAAGTAGTGGTTTCCATTATTTGGGTATAAATGCTTTAATATCAAAAATGTTGGCAGGGCACAGTGGCTCACGCCTGTAATCCCAGCACTTTAGGAGGCCAAGGTGGGTGGATCATGAGGTCAGGAGATCGAGACCATCCTGACTAACAAGGTGAAACTTCGTCTCTACTAAAAATACAAAAGATTAGCTGGGTATGGTGCGCACGCCTGTAGTCCCACCTACTTAGGAGGCTGAAGCAGGAGAATCAGTTGAACTTGGGAGGCAGAAGGTGCAATGAGCCAAGATTGTACCATTGCACTCCAGGCTGGGCAACAAGAGAGAAACAAAAAAAAGTTTTCAGGCCGGGCACAGTGGCTCATGCCTATAGTCCCAGCACTTTGGGAGCTGAGGTGGGTGGATCACGAGGTCAGGAGTTCAAGACCGGCATGGCCAACATGGTGAAACCCTGTCTCTACTAAAAATACAAAAAATTAGCTGGGTATGGTGGCGAGTGCCTGTAATCCCAGCTACTCAGGAGGCTGAGGCAGGACAATCACTTGAACCCAGAAGCCAGCAGTTGCAGTGAGCCAAGATCATGCCATTGCAATCCCGGCTGGGTGACAGAGCAAGACTGTGTCTCAAAAAAGAAAAAAGCTATACCTTTAGAATAAATGTTGACTATTTTTGAACTTATGAATATTCAAAGATAAGACAATTTGTTTTAGTTACATCCAATATGATGAAGAATTCAGCAGGAATGTCTCTGCTCTGTAATAGGTCATGTTTCTTCTAAGCTTGTAGTATCTATGCATTACCATTAGAACAATTCAGTTTCAGGCCAACCAAGTTATAGAAAACTAGTTCCTCGTTGCAAAGGTGCCAGGAAAAATGAATTTTAAAGCTTAGGCTGAAATCTATTCAGCCTCTTCAACATTCCCAATTTGAAGTAATTGTTTTTTTTTTCTCATTCAACTGAGAAACACTTTATTGAGCATCTTTTCTGTTTAACAAAGTTAACTGAGAATAACAGAATTAACAGTTAATAGAATTAACATATTTAAGCCAAACTAAACTCTGGAGTTTATCTAAAGAGGTAATACCTATCCTCAAAGTGCCTTCTAATTTATAGGAGGATGTAGATGGAATGGCCTCTATCTGGAATGATCTCTCTACTTTGTTTAGCCACCATTGGATTTAACATTCTGTATATTCCTCTGGGGAGTCTGCACTCACATGGCAAGTTTGGCTTGGACAGACGCCCCCCATAAATGCCTTTCTAGAATCTTGCACTTTAACAGCCCTTATACAAACTGTTTTAATTGCCTGGTGGTTTTCTGTTACATGGATTGTAAGCTGTTAAGGCAGGAATTTTTCCCAAATCCATATAACACTATTTACTTATTTGAGACAGGTTCTTGCTCTGTCACCCAGGCTGGAGTGCAGTGGCATGATCTTGGCTCACTGCAACCTCCGCCTCCTGGGTTCAAGTGATTCTCATGCCTCAGCCTCCCAAGTAGCTGGGATTACAGGCATGTACCACCACACCCAGCTAATTTTTGTATTTTTAGTAGAAATGGGTTTTCGCCATATTGGCCAGGCTGGTCTTGAACTCCAGGTTTCAAGTGTTCAACCTACCTCAGCCTCCCAAAGTGCTGGGATTACAAGCATGAGCCACCACGCCCAGCTAGCCACATGGCTTTCTCAGCTCCATCACATCCTGCTTTTTCATGGCTCAGGAGCCAGATTGCGGGGTTCAACTTCCCAGCTCCTCTTAATAGGTCGGTCACATTGAGCAGGTTACTTAGCCTCTCTGTACCTCAGTTTCTGTAAAATGGGAATGTTAAGATAATACATAGGACAATACATAATAATGTGTGGGATAATACATGAAAAACTTTTAGCATAATATCCAGAACATAACAATAAATATTCGTTATCTCTGCGATGTAGACCACATTCTCACAACTTTATAGAGTTAAAAAAACAAGCTTAGAGATGTAAAGTTGCCGAAGGTCACATAACTGATGAAACACATTGTTCACTGTATTGATGTTTTCCTACTTGATAGCAGGGAGCATGTTATTGCAGATTTCCTGTTTCCAGTGTGTGGCACCAAGTGCTCAAAAAATGTTTCATGAGATCATATGGTCAAAGATCGAGAAAAACATATAGAAGAAATTGAATCGGGAGAAAGAGAAGGGGGAAAAGTAAAGCAGGAGAGTTGACTTACAATATTTTTGGAGTTGTGTAGAAGACGGAGGGACTTAGGATGGCTCTGGGAGAAAGAACTGAGCCCAGGGACCAAGATGATAGGCAGACATTGAGGCTGTCTATATATTTTTTTCTTTTGAGACAGAGTCTCACTCTGTCGCCCAGGCTGGAGTGCAGAGGCGCGATCTTGGCTTACTGCAACCTCCGCCTCCTGGGTTCAAGTGATTCTCCTGCCTCAGCCTCTCCAGTAGCTGGGATTACAGGTGCCCACCACTACGCCCGGCTAATTTTTGAATTTTTAGAGTAGGGGTTTCACCAGGTTGGCCAGGCTGGTCTCAAACGCCTGACGTCGGCCTCCTAAAGTGCTGGGATTAGAGTACAGGTGTGAGCCAACCTGACCCGCCACATTATCTTTACTATACTATCTCTCTAAACAAGAATGCTGTCCAACTTTGGAAGGGGGAAGAAGGTATACACTGAGGCTGCTTCCCCAATCACCCTCTTGAGACAGGCCTGACGCCAAGATGAGACTGGACGACCTCTGGAACTCGAAGTTGTATGGGGACCGGACCAGGGAGGCCGAGGAGGGTCAATAGACCCGTGAGGTCGTACCGTCAGTGATGCCCTTGTTCCCGTGGGAGCTCTTCGGTTCCACGCGGTTCCCACCACGGGCCCGCCAACCCCAGCCCGAGGCCTCACTTTGCAGGCCGGGCCCGAAATCAGGAAGCCTTGGCCGTTAGACGAGCCAAGCGAGGAGGCAAAGACGGAGGAAACTCAGCCGGGCCGGAAACAGAGAGAACTGCTTCCGGGTCAGGGGGCAGTAGCTACCATGGAGCCTCGCGGGGTAGCTGGGCTGACGGATTCGCGGGCCGGTGTCTGAAGCGAGCGGGGCGCAGCGCGGCCAGCGCCGCCGGGCATACGCAGGCCGGTCCCTAAGGCCCGCGGTCGCCGCCATGTCGGTGCTGGGCGAGTACGAGCGACACTGCGATTCCATCAACTCAGACTTTGGGAGCGAGTCCGGGGGTTGCGGGGTCTCGAGTCCGGGGCCTAGCGCCAGTCAGGGGCCGCGAGCCGGCGGCAGCGCGGCGGAGCAGGAGGAGCTGCACTACATCCCCATCCGCGTTCTGGGCCGCGGCGCCTTCGGGGAAGCCACGCTGTACCGCCGCACCGAGGTAGCGGCCCTAGACATCGGCCGCCTTGCCTGGCGCTGCCGGGTCGCCCCAAGCCCCTCCTTCCCGGTCCCGCTTTCCCCGCGTCGTGAGCTTAGTCCTTAGGCTCCCACAGGGTATAAGTCTCAGGGTCTTCACCATTTTGCTCACACTCACCAGCACTGGAAATTGGTTAGATCATTGGTTTTACTAACTAGTCATTTTTGATTTACCTAAGTCACCGAACCGTCTCTGAGCTTTAGTTTCCCCATCTGTAAAATGGCTTAGTGATAATACCTTGAAATCATCTTTTTTTGTTAAAGATTATCTTAAGAATCAAACGAAGGCGCTTGTTCTGTAAATTAAAATGGTATACGAATGTGAGGTATTGCCAAAACTTACTTCCTCTCATGCAGTATATATATAGCTCTCCAAGGTCGGGGTGGAGAGGAGGGGCATAGCTTCAAAATTCCCACACCAGTGGCATCTCCGTTATTTTTGTCATTATCTTTAAGTTCAGCAGTGATCACTCAATTGGAAGCTTTTTTTGAAGCTCATTGGGAAGATTTTTGTGTGTTGGTTCTTCATCAGTGTTTATCCTACAGGGTTTATGCATGTGAAATACTTTGTTGGCATATTCTGAGCCATTAGTTCTTAATTTGGGGGGCACAAGGACCCCTTTGAGAACCTAACATAAGCAAAGTAATCTTACTCCCTCCAACACGTTTGCACATATGCACATCCTTTGGAGAGATCCATGGATCATGGAATTCCAAGTTAATAATATATACTAGTGCAAAACTCTGCAGTGATGATTCTGCTTCCAAAAACTAACAATACACTGGATTTGATTACTAAAATCTTACTTTAGGGTAAATATTTAATGAGAACTTGCTGGGGTTGCTGAAGGTGATTCATGCATCAGAAATCCATCTGCAGTTCTGGTGTGTGTTCCAAGGCAGCATACTTTTAAGGCTGAAAGATGGAGGAGAGAAGTGGTTGCGAGGGAATATTTTTAAGTGTTCTTTTTTATCCTGATGCCACATTAATGTATGATGTTAGAGTTATTCTTAGTAGTCTATTTTCTTTTTGCACTCAAAATGAGAAAGAGGAGATAAGGACTGTTATTCCTATATTTTAGTTGGAGAAACCAAGACAGTATATTTAAGTGACTTGCTCACTTAAGTTACAAGTAAATCTTGGACTAGAACTAAAGTCTTAAATCTCCTTGCCCATTTCCTTTTTATTATCCTGTTGAACTTGATTACTGGGTTTGAGTTAAATCTGATTACACTTCCTAAAAATTGCATAGTGTTATCCGTATCACCAAATATTTATTAGATCTGTGAATTTACGGAAGTTCAGAAGCACCCTTTTCCTCTAGAAGCTTATATTTCAATAGGAAAATAAATTAGCCATTGTTAGTAAACAAAGAGCATTAAGTTGCACATGTGGAGATCTGAAAAGAATGGACAAATAGCATTTCAGCTTATGAGGTCTAAATATGAAAGGCATAACCATCAGTGTTTATCCTGCAGAATTTATGCATGGGAAATACAGTAAAAGGTTCATCAGAGTCTTTTCAAAAACAATGTAAAGGCTTGGCAGAGGCATTCAAAAGGATAGGGAGAGTTATATAGATGGAGATGCTCCTGGGCTAGGAAGCAGTGTCAGCAAAGAATGAGGCCAGGCACGGTGGCTCAGGCCTGTAATCCCAACACTTGGGAGGCCAAGGTGGTCGAGTCACTTGAGGCCAGGAGTTCTAGACCAATCTGGGCAATACAGTGATACCCCATCTCTCTCTTTTTTTTTTTTTTTTCCTTTTTTGAAACAGAGTCTTGCTCTGTCGTGAGGTGCCAGGCTGGAGTGCAGTGGCATGATCTTTGCTCACTGCAACCTCCACCTCCCAATTTCAAGCAATTCTCCTGCCTCAGCCTCCTGAGTAGCTGGGATTACAGGCACTTGCCACCACACCCAGCTAATTTTTGTGTTTTTAGTAGAGACGGGGTTTCACCATGTTGGCCAGGATGGTCTCGATCTCTTGACCTTGTGATCTGCCTGCCTCAGCCTCCCAAAGTGCTGGGATTACAGGCGTGAGCCACCTCGCGCAGCCATACCCAATCTCTTTAAAAAAAAAAAATTTAGCTGAGTGTGGCAGTGCGTGCCTGTAGTTCTAACTGCTGGGAAGGCCAAGGTGGGAGAATTGCTTCAGCCCAGGAGTTGAAAGCTGAAGCGAGCTATGAGTGTATTCTAGTTTGGACAACAGAGTGAGACCTTATCTCTAAAAAAACAAAAATAATAAATAAAAGGATAGTAGACATCAGGAGCTACAGGTAAGTTTTCAGGAATAGAAGAAAATGTGATACATAAAAGTGTGATAGGAAATTATAGAGTTGCAAAAGGGGGCATGACTTACTCTTAGCGGAAAGGGTAAGTGAAAATCAGTAGGGAAGTCTAAATTTATAAAACTAGAGGCAAGTTTAGTATTTTCATTTTAGATGAAGCTGTGATCAGCTATAGATAATTGCTCCCCAGTTCTCTACTTCTCCAGAATTCTTGCCCTGCTATAATCACCATCATGATTAGCAGTCTGTCATAGTGTCCTCAATAGAATGTTTTTGAAATCTATCCCCAATCCATATTTTTACCTGGAACTAACATCATGCAAATTAAGTGTTACAGCAACAACGTCTTAATGCTTTACTTCCCCTGTCCTGCAATAAATTATAGTGCTGAATTCTACATATAATCTTTAAAGTCTGTTAAAAGGGAAAAATAAGAGGAGTCAGTCTCTGCCCCTCTAAGAAGTTTTCCGTCTAGGCTTACAGATGTAGGTATGGATTCGTTTGCTGTCAGGCAAGAGGAAAGCACGATACCTCTGTTACTGTGTTGTAGGATGACTCACTGGTTGTGTGGAAAGAAGTTGATTTGACCCGGCTATCTGAGAAGGAACGTCGTGATGCCTTGAATGAGATTGTTATTCTGGCACTGCTGCAGCATGACAACATTATTGCCTATTACAATCATTTTATGGACAATACCACTCTACTGATTGAGCTGGAGTACTGTAATGGTAAGGTAGACTTCAGTGGGCCTTTCTCCAGCAAGACTTTCTTAGACTCATACTTACCTTGAGGATAGGAATATAACAAGAGGCATATACAGTGATAAAAACTTTAAATGAATTTATAGAGTTTAAGAGAAACTTTTCAGGCCTTGGAGAGTTTTCAAGTGGTATACCAAATAAGGAGAGGGATTTTCCCCTGCATACCCAAATTTTCTCTTGTGATTATAGTTCCATTTTCAAACTATTTTTTCTTTGGTTGGATTTATTTTTCAAAGTTTTTCTTTATGAAATGACATTAGTTAACTGGAGTGTGGATTGGTACCACTTGATACAATATTTAATAAGATTTTATAGGTGATATTTATTTATATTGTCTTCAGCTAAAGCTATCCTATTAAAAAGTGGTCCAAAGATCATAACTGAGTGAAAATGATAATATGGGCCGGGCGTGGTGGCTCACACCTGTAATCCAAGCACTTTGGAGGCCAAGGTGGGCAGATCACCTGAGGTTGGGAGTTCAAGACCAGCCTGACCGACATGGTGAAACCCCATCTTTATAAAAAGAAAAAATGATAATATGGTAAAGCATGGCCCTATTTATCTGGTCTTTGATTTCTTCAGATCATTTTCTTGTAAGAAAGCAATATAGACTAGTTCTTAAGAAAATAGACTCTGAACCCACATCCGAAGTTTCTCTACTTTCTCTATAACCTTGGTAAGAAACTACTACTCTGTGCCTCAGTTTCCTGATTTTAAAATGAGTTTGTTGGCCAGGGACAGTGGTGCACACCTCTAATCCCAGCATTTTGGGAAGCCAAGACAGGAGGATCCCTTGAGCATAGGGTTTTGAGGACAGCCTAGGCAACATGATGAAACCCTGTTGCTACCAAAAATACAAAAAATTAGCTGGGTGTGGTGGTGTGCATCTATAGTTCCAGCTACTTGGGAGGATGAGGAGGGAAGATGGCTTGAGACCAGGAAAAAGAGGTTGCAGTGAGCTCAGACCACTGCACTCTGTCCTGGGTGATGGAGCGAGACCTTGTCTCAAAAAAAAAAAAACAGCATAGTGGGTCACACCTGTAATCCCAGCACTTTGGGTCAGAAGTTCGAGACCATCATGGCCAACATGGTGAAACCCCATTTCTACTAAAAAGACAAAAATCAACTGGGCATAGTGGTGCATGCCTGTAATCCCAGCCACTCAGGAGGCTGAGGCAGGGGAATCTCTTGAACCAGGGAGCAGAGATTGCGCTACTGCACTCCAGCCTGGTGACAGAGCAAGACTCTGTCTCAAAAAAGAAAAAAAAAAGAGTTTGTGGATAACAGTACCTACTTTCTAGGGTTGTTGTATTAAGTGCATAGTGCTTGGTAGGTAGGAAGTGTTTGCTACATACTGTACTAGCTGTTAATTATCTTATTGTACAAGAGAACCTCCAAAGCCCTATTCTGAACTGCCTGCTAAAGACGTCCCAACATATTTATCACTTACAACATTCTTGTGTTGACTCTTGTATATTATGATCATTGGTGATCAAAG